TGTTTGTCCATAATTTACTATCATTGATATAATATTATAGCTTTTGTTTACATTTTGAATTAGATTTTATATAATTTTTGTTTTAATTTTAGTTTTAGCAATTTTGTTGTTTTTATTTATTTTAAATTTTTTTTAAATGTCTATGTAGTTTTTATAAAATTTTAGTTTATTTAATTTAAATTTAAACTAAGAAAAAAATGAAAAATGTTTCCCTGGAATTAAAATGGGTTTACGTTTTTTTAATTTAATTTTATTTCAAGTAATTATTGTTTTTAGGGTTTTATATTTAATTTTTAGATTTTATTTAATAATAATAACCCTGCTGAGAAGCAGAAGACCTCAGCAGACTTCTCCATTTGCTCTCCATTTAATCTCATTACCATCTAGGAGAAACTGTTTTTGGAATGTTTTTATTGATTGGATGTTGAAAAGTGAGTGTTGTATATTAGGGATGCTCCGATCCGATATTCATATGATGATTTATGATGATCTATGATTTAGCAAAAAGGACTTTATCTTCTTGCCGGAGTTTAATGTTGTTTTGTCACTTGCTACCGGGTGTCTGTGAGAACAAAACACGGGCATAGAAAAGACTATAAATAGTTTTTAGCGTGCACAGTAACTGAAATTTAAAACTGTTAAAAGAAAGGCTCAATAACTGTTGCACAGATATAATACACTACGCATCAATTTCTCTTCCCTTTGTGCTTTGCAGTTTTTAACGCGAAGTGCTTACAATGTGCGCATCCGGTGTGCAGAATGATGGACTTGAAGCAACACGGCGTCAGGTTTTCATATTTATTGTTTTTTATTTTTATTTTCTTTATAATGAAGTAGTCTGTATCTAGTAGATTGTGAAAGAATGATTATCAGTTCCACACACAGAGATATATAAATTCTACATTTATTTAAATGGGGGGGGGGGGAAACTTCACTGGTATCGGCCAATACCGAACCCTAGGTATCGGAATCGGTATCGGAGGCGAAAAAGGCAGATCGGAGCATCCCTATTGCATATCAGAATTGAAGATTTGTGTTGTCATCTGAAAAGAAAGATGAAGCAAGCAATTGCATTTAGATAAGAGATTATGAAGACAGTTGTTCTCACTGCATCATAATGTTCACAATAAGAACAGTAGTGTGTGCATGCAGAAAGTAAATACCGTCAGTTATGATTTGATGTTGACTTTAACACCTTCACTTGAATCACTTCATGAGTTGAAGACATCTATCTCTGATTTATGCCTGTCTTTCCGCACGTCATCATTTCATTTGTCATCTATGAGCGCTGTGTTTGCTTCCTGGAGGTCAAAGTGATGCAGGTGCAGAGCGGAGATGAAGCCTGATGGATGTCTCCGCTAGATTTAAGGGCTCCCGTCGTCAGCGGCTGCTCTTTACTCCATGACTTTATTTGGTCAGATCTTACACGGGCCGCCGGGGTCTTTGATCTCACCAGGGTTTTCCATGACAAACAGGAACGTACTTAAACCAAGCTTTATGGGGGTCGAGCAGGATTTGGAGGGCGCTTTTATACGCTCAACCAAGAGGAATTTCAGGATGGCACGACCTTTTGTGTGTCAGATGCCTTTCATCTAAAAAATGTTTTCTTACACAGTGTTTTGGACAAAAGTTGCTGTATATTTGTGTAATAGACATTAGTATTGCTGCACTTCTTAGTGGCAGCTGTTAAACAATGCAGCTAAGAGGTGAAATGAAAATGGACCCAGTTTACTTTCTTAATATGTGTTTGATTTAACCCAGCTAATGGGTTGATTCATTTTTATTATAATATAGCTTATTTTTTACTTTATACATGAAATAATGTTTACAGATTAACTTAAATCCACTAAACCTTTGTAAAATACTCCACACAACCACTGGTTTGCATGATAACTTCCTTTATTTATTATTTACAGCATTGTTTATCGTTTTTATGTATATATTGCCTATTTAAACTTGTTTAACAAACATTAAAAGTAAATATTAAACATTAAACAGAAGTAATTCATGTGTAAACGACCACTCATAGCTGAAATATGTATTCTGTATCTTTATGAATAAAAACCTTTATTTTATGCAGAGTATCAGGCTTTTCCATCACGCAATAAGACCGACGTTAGGTGATTACACCGCGTGCCTGTATGTTGCTCTGCATGAAATTGAACGATATACAGCACAGTAACGATTTTATATATAAAATAAAATGTACACAAACCTGTATTTTACCGAAGAAATGCATCAATTCGATGGCGCTTAGAACTGTTCTCTCCAGAAGAGAAGGCAAAATACCCACGATAAATAACTCAAACGCTGGGTTACGTCTGACCCAGGATCTGAGTAATACAAAAACTACCCAAACATTGGGTTGCTATGTCTGACACAGGAGCTGGGTAACACTAAAAAAACTGACCAAACATTGGGTTGTTATATTTGACCCAGGAGCTGGGTAACACTAAAAAACTACCCAAACATTGGGTTGTTATATTTGACCCAGGAGCTGGGTAACACTAAAAAACTACCCAAACATTGGGTTGTTATATTTGACCCAGGAGCTGGGTAACACTAAAAAACTACCCAAACATTGGGTTGTTATATTTGACCCAGGAGCTGGGTAACACTAAAAAACTACCCAAACATTGGGTTGTTATATTTGACCCAGGAGCTGGGTAACACTAAAAAACTACCCAAACATTGGGTTGTTATATTTGACCCAGGAGCTGGGTAACACTAAAAAAACTGACCAAACATTGGGTTGTTATATTTGACCCAGGAGCTGGGTAACACTAAAATACTACCCAAACATTGGGTTGTTACATTTGACCCAGGAGCTGGGTAACACTAAAAAACTACCCAAACATTGGGTTGTTACGTCTGACCCAGGAGCTGGGTAACACTAAAAAACTACCCAAACATTGGGTTGTTACGTCTGACCCAGGAGCTGGGTAACACTAAAAAACTACCCAAACATTGGGTTGTTACGTCTGACCCAGGAGCTGGGTAACACTAAAAAACTACCCAAACATTGGGTTGTTACGTCTGACCCAGGAGCTGGGTAACACTAAAAAACTACCCAAACATTGGGTTGTTACGTCTGACCCAGGAGCTGGGTAACACTAAAAAACTACCCAAACATTGGGTTGTTACGTCTGACCCAGGAGCTGGGTAACACTAAAAAACTACCCAAACATTGGGTTGTTACGTCTGACCCAGGAGCTGGGTAACACTAAAAAACTACCCAAACATTGGGTTGTTACGTCTGACCCAGGAGCTGGGTAACACTAAAAAACTACCCAAACATTGGGTTGTTACGTCTGACCCAGGAGCTGGGTAACACTAAAAAACTACCCAAACATTGGGTTGTTACGTCTGACCCAGGAGCTGGGTAACACTAAAAAACTACCCAAACATTGGGTTGTTACGTCTGACCCAGGAGCTGGGTAACACTAAAAAACTACCCAAACATTGGGTTGTTACGTCTGACCCAGGAGCTGGGTAACACTAAAAAACTACCCAAACATTGGGTTGTTACGTCTGACCCAGGAGCTGGGTAACACTAAAAAACTACCCAAACATTGGGTTGTTACGTCTGACCCAGGAGCTGGGTAACACTAAAAAACTACCCAAACATTGGGTTGTTACGTCTGACCCAGGAGCTGGGTAACACTAAAAAACTACCCAAACATTGGGTTGTTACGTCTGACCCAGGAGCTGGGTAACACTAAAAAACTACCCAAACATTGGGTTGTTACGTCTGACCCAGGAGCTGGGTAACACTAAAAAACTACCCAAACATTGGGTTGTTACGTCTGACCCAGGAGCTGGGTAACACTAAAAAACTACCCAAACATTGGGTTGTTACGTCTGACCCAGGAGCTGGGTAACACTAAAAAACTACCCAAACATTGGGTTGTTACGTCTGACCCAGGAGCTGGGTAACACTAAAAAACTACCCAAACATTGGGTTGTTACGTCTGACCCAGGAGCTGGGTAACACTAAAAAACTACCCAAACATTGGGTTGTTACGTCTGACCCAGGAGCTGGGTAACACTAAAAAACTACCCAAACATTGGGTTGTTACGTCTGACCCAGGAGCTGGGTAACACTAAAAAACTACCCAAACATTGGGTTGTTACATTTGACCCAGGAGCTGGGTAACACTAAAAAACTACCCAGACACTGAAAAAAAATTACCCAGTTTGTCTGTTTTTAAATTTTTTTTTAAATAAATTATTTAGTTATATTTAATATTGATATATATTAATATTTATTTCATACTTATGTTCTAAATATTAATATTTTTTATATATGAATATAATATTATTAAAATAATGTACTATTTATTTATTTAAATTTTCTATTCATCAAAAACTCCTGAAAGGAAATGTATCGTTGTTTCTGTAAAGCAATATTAGAATGAACACTGAATGATGCTGAAAATGCAGCTTTGATCAGAGCAATAAATTACATTTTACAATATATTCGCATAGAAAAATGTTAATTTAAATTGTAATGATATTTCACAATTTTTATTGTAGTTTTGATCAAATAATAGCAGCCTTGATCTCAAACCTTTGAACGGTCGTTTATTTTTCCAACCTTCCTCCAATCAGCTGACTCCATTCTGGTATGTAACTTTTCATTATCCAGTCAATTATTAATCGATAAAATCCATGTATTATTCTGCTTCACATTATGTAAGTCAAATTGTTTGGGAATGCCATTTCATGTCTTTAAATAGAGTCTGAGACCCTTGTAGAGGAAGCACAGTATTTTTTTCAAGTATGCATGCACAAGAGAACCAGATTTGGCGACAGAAATCCTAGCACTGGTTTCCTGCTGTGGTTTACATTCCCAGAGCTGTGGAGATTGCTGCTGCAGCTGGCATGGGCAGCCTGAGTTCACCACTCTTTACCCTCACATAATACTTTCTGGAAGATCGGTCACTGATTGAGGGACGATTGATTACACACGTCTCTTTGTTTCTCTTTCTGTTCTGAAGGACCTGTTAGAAAGCCCAAGTATGTGGAGAGTCCCCGTGTTCCTGGAGATGCGATCACGTCGTCGCTGAGGAAGGTTCCTGACGGTACAACTGGTGAGTGGCGACTCATGCCGTTACTTGCTTCAGAGTGTTTGGGCTTGATGTCAGAATCAAGTTTTTCGGTTTGTTTTCATTGGTTAGAGTAGAAGATTGCTGAGGACGTCAGGTTTCCCACAGTCACAGATGACTGAGAAATAGTCATGAGTCAATGAAGAATTAAACACACATTTCTGTAGTAAATATACATATTTCTAATTATGCTCAGATCTAAAATGTTTTATTGGTTCCATTATGTATTCTAAATATTACCATAAAAGTATGCATCAAATTTTATTTATAGAATCATCTAAATATTATATATATTTTTGACTATTGGGTAAAATGTGCAATTTTTCATTAAATTTGTAAATAATAATAATAATTCTTATTAAAATCTAAACTCTAAATATTATTATAATAATTTTCAATTGAAGTTTGAGTTAATCCTAGGTAAGAGTTGTTGTTTTTTTGCCATCAAATTAAATTATTCACTTATATAAACATAATATTCGCCACCATGATCTTTATTTATTTATTTATTTATGTATTATTTTGTTTAACTGTCAAATGCCACATTACATAAGTAAAATTGGTGAAATCCATTTTGATTAAGATTATTATTAAATATTTTAACAAAATTCTAAGCTAATTTTTTGAGTTTTGAATGAGTATTGGACAGAAAGACTCTTTAATTATATTTAGTATGTTTCACATTACAATTGGTATAATTAAATTGTATTATTCATATATGAGTGTAATATTTTCCACCCTTATGTCTAAATATCTCTATTAGCGAAATCCTTATGCTGTAAACACACAGCTCCAGTGTGTTTTACGAAAATTGGAAATTAATTTGTCAAAAACATGGGAACCCATTTATTTATTTACTCAAGATGTTTTCTATGGAAATGTCATGTTCGTATCTGTGTTTTTATGTTCAATTATGCATGTAAGCAAAGCAGCATATGCGTACTTAAATTTGCTTCATGCATTTTGAATTGAGATAATTGCATATGTGTATATGTGCAGTATAAACTCACTGTATATAGCAGAAACTGTATGTGTGCATGCACGTAGTGTGTAGTGCAGTTTCTGTGCTGGGCTGCTGTAGGGTTGGCAGTGTTGTGTGTGTGTGTATCTTTAGCTGCGTATCACTGGACACTGGATTGTGCTGGTCACAGCAGTGCGTGAGACATCAGAGCTTTCCAAACAGCTGTGTGCAGCAGGGTGGCGCCAGTCGAATGCCAGCTGTCTGTGGCACAGCACTGTATCGCTCTGCTCACATGACGTCAGAGACGGGTGACTCGGCAGGAGTGACAGCGGATGCTTATGAACTGTAAAGTTATTTTGCTGTGGTGCTGTAGATTCATACGGATGTCTCACAACTAGTGATGCACTGACATGGTTTTGGAGAGTGATTTTTAACTAGCACGTCTCCGGTTTATCATTTTAATCAATCTATTAATTATTATCAGCATCTTTAATATAATATTATTAAATAATCTAAATATTATTATATATTTGATAGAACTTTGAATGACTATTGGGTGCATTTTAGCAATGGTTTTTGAATTACATTGGCTCTCATTAAATGTAATTATAAATATGTGAATAATTAATTAATTTATTATTAGTAGTATTGTTATAAAAATCTAATTATTATTATTTTTGATCAAAGTTTGAAGGAATATTGGGTAAAATGACCCATTCATTTAAATGTAGCTTTTTTTGCATTACATTTGCTATCATTAAAATTAATGGCTAAATGAGCTTTAGTAATTATAGGTATAGAATTAATATTATTGGCCACACTGATCTCTAAATATATATATTTGTTCTAATTATTCTTTCTAAATATGTGCAATTTATTTGATTGCTAATGATGAAATAAATTAAATTAATTAATTGATTATTAAATAAACATTTTAGTTTATTTTTCATTTTCGATGAAATGAAAACTTTAAATTTGGTTTCTGTGTTTGGGTAAAAAATGTATTTTGGTGCATCACTACACACAATTGTGTTTAATTTAACAAGTGAATTACTCAATTTTGGTTTTTGTGAGTCGAGTGTCAAAAAACAGTCCAGTGCACACTGGAAATCAAGCTAATTCTGCATACTAAATCATTTTTTCTTTGGGAAATAGTTGATGTGACATTCTGAACGTGCATTCTTTGTGTTAGTTAGTAATTGTAAGTGAAATGCTTTAGATTTGTGTGAATAGTTCAGGATGTTGAAGTAGGACCAGTATAATCTGGCCTGGTTTTTAGCTGGTTTATTTACTGCATATCTGTCATATCTCAATGACACAGCCCAGTTAGCTCAGCTTTACCTCCACACACACACATATACAGGTCAACACTGTTTACATGGGGGTCTGTCACATGTTATTTTAACCCTGAGAGAGTTTATATATATCATCTCTACACATTCCCACAGGCTCCAGTTTAACATTGCCTTCGAGTCATGTTGAAATGATCATATTCATGAGACGAACTCAAGGTTTTCTGTCAGCCATGACTTTCCCAGTTAAGTACATGTCAATTAAAAAAAGCCTGGTGGAAGATCATTGATATTCATCATAATAATGACTTCATTTTCAGAAACTCTGCTCATTTAGCCAGTATTTGAAGCATCAGGCTTGTGTGACTCAACTGTATTTCCCATCATTCTGTGTGTTAGCATGAAAAGGCTTGCTGCACTTCTGATGTCTCTATTTCGTTGCGCGAAAAATCACCATCAATTCTGAACAAGTGGGATGTTTATTTTTGGTTGAACAAAATCATTTAGACTAATAGTTTATAGTTTAGCATTTTCAGTTTTATTCAATTAAATTTTTGCTAATTTTAGCAATTAATTTTTTACAACAGTTTTGATTTTTCATGGACATGTCAGAATCAGTTCATTAACATTTTATATTTATTATAAAAATATTTGTGTTAGTTTATATTGTTATTACATTTCTGTAGTAAATATACATATTTCTAATTATGCTCAGATCTAAAATGTTTTATTGGTTCCATTATGTATTCTAAATATTACCATAAAAGTATGCATCAAATTTTATTTATAAAATCATCTAAATATTATATTTTAATTTATTAATTTTTTTGACTATTGGGTAAAATGTGCAATTTTTCATTAAATTTGTAAATAATAATACTAACAATTCTTATTAAAATACTCTAAATATTATAATAAAATTTTCAATTTTGAAGTTTGAGTTAATCTTAGGTAAAAGATTTTTTTTTTTTGCTGTCATCAGATTAAATTATTAATTTATATTAGGGATGTAACGATTACCAGTTTGACGATAAATCATGATAAAATACCCCAAAGTTATTATTACCATTTCATATTTTAACTATAACCGTATTCGATTACCACGATTTGAACAACTGAGGATAAATAAATAAATATCAGTTCATTAACATGATATATATTTTATAGAAATTTTTATTTAATTCAAAAATTATATTTAATAATTGCATTTTATAGTTTTTTATATCAGTTCATAGTTTAAAACAGCAGTTGAGTAGTCGGCATTGACAATTATTTACATCTAAATAAGCAAAACCTTGTGAATTTAAATCTTTATTTACACTTTAATTGCGTTTACACATACTTGTAAATGTATTAAAACAGTGTACAACTGAATCCCAAAGAGGAAACCATTCATAAACCCACTTTAACTCCACATCGCCATCTGCAGGAGGGGAGTGTTTTAACACATGCACAGGGGACATTATTTGGCTGTTATATTATTAGTACTTTATTTAGGTTTAGTTTTACTCTTTAATTATTTTCAGTTCATAAAAAGTTTTATAACTCTTGAACTCATAATTATGATTTCCGAACTCGTAAGTAAGCATTTCCCAGGAGCACTAACGTCTGCGGTGGATCGACGGTATCTCTGGCTTCATAAGCGGATACGACTGCAGAGATCAGTGGGACACTAAACAGCTCTCGGCATTCCCAAGGCTTCCCAACCTTCCTGGGAATGTGGCGGCTCTGTCTGTAAATACCTGTTCTCACACCTCATCTCCCAAACATTCAGTAAAAGTGTAGCTGAAGGAAGAAAGCAAACAGTGCCATGTGGAATTAGTCAGCGTGCTTCACTAATAGCATTAATAATGCATAATTAGCCCCAGTGTGTGTGTACTTCATAATGATGGTTAATTACTCTGTCCTGCTGCCAGACTTTCAGCTTTTTAACTGAAAGTGTGGTAGGCGTTTATTTATTAACACGCACTTGTTTCCTCGTCACCTGAAGTCAGAGCGCTCCAAAACTGTTGAGCAGAAGTTGAGTCAGAAAACTGCTGCCAAGAGCAAAGCCATGAAGAAAAGCACATTGTCTTCAAACTGGTGCTAATATGTTAGAAGTTTACTGAAAGTAGGGATGCACAGTATATATCTCTACCATATGAGTTATTGTTCGATATTATAGGCTTTTTTGTTTGTTTATTGGAATCAGTCTACATTGGTTGTATGATGTTCGATATTAGATATTTAATTTATTTATTCATTTTTTTAGAATTTTTATTTAGACATTTACCTTTGCATCATGTATTTAAAAAATATAACAGTTAAATTGAATGTCATAATAATTAAACAATACAAAATATTAGATGTTTAATAGAAAAACACTGTTAAATGTGATCTTTAGCAAATCCTAAATTAATGTACACATTTTTTTTCTTTCATATGTTTACTTAATGTTACATAAAGAGTTAGACACTGACCTTTGCATCACACAATTAAAGCCAAAATAATTTAATATCAATTTAAAAATATTAGATGTTTAATAGAAACCACTCTTAAATCTTTAGCAAATCTCAAAATGAACATTCATTCAGTATAATTTTTTGTTACGGAGTTTGACGTTTACGTTTGCATCACACATTTAAAACTATAATAATTTAATTACTATAAAACTATTAGATGTTTAATAGAGAAACACTGGGAAATGTAATCTTTCGATAATGTAAAAATGAATTTTTAGCTATGTTACATTC